TGATGTTATCTTCTTTCGGGGAACATACAACGTCCTTTTTCTTAAAACAATTGCAAGTGCAGACGCCCATCTTTGTTTATAGATTTGATTTCGTAAGCCGGGGTATTTAGCCTTAAAAACAGAAACACGTTTTTGTGCAGAAATCGCGTGCATATTGGTTAACATATTCATTATTATTTTACTAGATTGTGAGCACTAATAAAACTTACCTTAAACCTAACCTGCACTCCTATGTCCGCAGAGCTGCGCAAAAGGCCATCAGCAAGAAGGGTATATATATTTGCGTGTCATCGCGTTATTACTGAGAAACGGATTTAAGTAGTAAATATATTTTTCTGAACATCCGTTAAAAATCGTATTTCTGCATAATGTTAACATAAGCCGTTTTAGTGCATAAAGATCATTTTGGATTATTTTTGCATGATGGTGGCAAATTGAAACCCATATCCTATTATTGTGTCATTTATTCAATGCCTGCTCATTAAATTCAAATATTTAAACAGCAAGTTTCGGTCCGACGTTTATTCGGCATAAGTGGCGGGGTTATTTTCTTGATCTCTTTAGAAACTTTTGAATTCTCTGAGAGACTGCATATGCTTGAGAAACAAATTCTGTACTTTGATGCGAATGTTACACGAATAATTTATAAATCTCCATAAGACCTGTAGAAGAGTGTGGTATTTAAGGTCATCTAACACTAAGTGTTCACTGTCATTAAACGGTTACCTGTAACGTAGACGCAGCGGGTTGAGCTGAACACAAATTGGTTTCTATTGGCTCAAACTTACGTACAATCTGTGGGATTCCCTTATTACGCCGCCTACACTTTTTTAGAGAAGAGCAGTCCAGCTGACCTTGGATGGATCTAAATTCAAAAAGCGACGAAACCAAGAATCCAATTTAAGAGCAGCACTGCGCGCGCAGTCCAGGACGGCTTGCAAAAGCTTGATGTTCATCGTTTTTATGAGCGTAAAAAAGACATTTACGTGTGGTGTAGAGAGCTTGTTAAATGTGGTGTGTCAGAAAATATTAACTAAATGAAACTGAGAAAATTAGCAGGCGTGAAAAAAAAACTCACTGTTTCTGTACTGGAGTGAAGACATCTTGAATCTTACTTTCTAGACCCACTGCGCGCATTGTCCATGGTTAATAGCG